AGGTCTGCAACGGGCTGAGATGTTCCCCGCAGTCGGTAGAAACACAGAGCCGACTTTTCGATATGACGATTGCACGAGATAAATCACGCATTTTGGGGTGTCTTTGTCATCTTCCTTAAGGTGAGAGTTCTGGACATCATTGTGTTTTTTGAAGGTTGAATCAAATAATTACATGGCTAAGTTACACTGGTCAAGAATGGTGGTACATGATGCGTCTGTTCCTCCTTGCTGCGTTCTGTTCATTTCCTCGGTACTGTGGCACAATTATGATTACTGTGGATGACTTGTGGCACTCCGTCCCAGGTACAACAACATATTCTTCATGATCGACACGTGTCAGGCGGCATCAATGTACGAAAAGTTTTACTCGCCCAACATTCTGGCAGTGGCGAGTAGCCAAGTTGGGGAGGACTCGCTATCTGTGAGTAGTTTAGTAAACCAGCAGGTGATGATTGGCCGCTGTGTGACATGGTTCTTGGTTCTGCTAGTAACACTGTGGCTCTCTGTAGGCATTGAAATGATTGTTCAAATTGCTGTTAGTCTCTGTTTGCTGACGCTCCTCTAGACGTGGCTGACGCCTTGGGCCCACGTATAAGGCCGGGCATTCGCTGCTGTCGGGTGTCGTCCGTGATGACGTGTTGGCGGTCGAAGAGTGATGCCGACCCGGCGCTGCTGTGGACATTCGCTGCTGTCGGGTGTCGTCCGTGATGATGTGTTGGCGGTCGAAGAGTGATGCCGACCCGGTGCTGCTGTGGACATTCGCTGCTGTCGGGTGTCGTCCGTGATGATGTGTTGGCGGTCGAAGAGTGATGCCGACCCGGTGCTGCTGTGGACATTCGCTGCTGTCGGGTGTCGTCCGTGATGATGTGTTGGCGGTCGAAGAGTGATGCCGACCCGGTGCTGCTGTGGACATTCGCTGCTGTCGGGTGTCGTCCGTGATGATGTGTTGGCGGTCGAAGAGTGATGCCGACCTGGTGCTGCTGTGGACTTTATGCTGTTGGTTTCTCAAGGCTCTTGCGTGCCCTGAGAGCACCGCAGTTTGATTAGCGCCGATCCACTTTGGCTCTAATGCGCGGTGTGGCTTTTCCTGAGGCAGTTTTCCCTTTCCAGCACCATTTGGACGCATCGCTTGGCGTTTACGTCATCGACAAGTATACGTACCACGCGCTGGACTTCATGGAAAAGCTGAGGAAGGATAGCAAGAAGTCTATGGCTGACTTTGTAAGGAAATGTATAGCTAGGGCGGCTGCACATTGGCTGGTCTTGTCGGCCACGCATTACGTCGCACGATGCATGGTCACCAATTTGCAGTTATTACTTCAGCTGCAGGTGGTTGTGCCACTCAGGATGGAGGCTGTCCTACTGTTTCAGGTTCTCCCGCACGTTTGGTTTAATGTGAAGGTGCCTTCCTACAGCACCCTAAACCAAATCTGGTCCCCATGAAACCTTACTTTGCTATTTTGCCCAGCTAAATCGATTTTGACTGAATCGCAATGTAAGTTGTGCAGCTTACTCTGGCTGAAAGCGGCACAGGGAAACCTCCAGTCGGTTGCGAGTCCAACTCGAGATGATATACCTCAGTCTCTGAATGAATTATGGCGAGGCTCATTCCAGTGACAAGTTAACCATTTGTTCTGAAACTGTGTTAATATACCACTGTCACGTGGCATACATAAAGAATATAAGATTGCTCATATTTGAGCCGACTTATCTCTGGCTGAATCGACGCTATTCTGAGTCCATCTCACAGCATATTTTATAAAAGCGATACTGCCCTCATTCCGTTCACATTTCGAACATTTCCGGGCCGACTCTGAATCAGTTCGGAACAAGCACAAGTCTGTCTAGAGCATATCACTGTTATTGATCCGTGAGTTACAGATCTGTGGTTCATCCGACGTCACGTGTGTGGATAAGCGATCATATCGGTATGTGTCCCATGCTCAGATCGTGTCAGTAATTTAGGCGTGATCATGGAGTCAGCTTTGTCCTGAGAGCTGCACGTGGGCCATGTCACTAGGTGCCGTTTTGACATCCTTGTCACTCTCCCAAATGCCAGACACGTTACCTGCCAATGTTCTGTCACACATCATGGAAGCACCCGTGTGCTCCCGTATCCGTTACTACGGTCAGGTTTGCTGTTGTGGCATTACAGGAAGTATTCAACTTGGCAGCTTTACTGATCTCGGCGTGACGAATGTGACCATGTGTCGGATGTTCCGCGACGGTTGGACTGGTTTAGTGTCCAGAAGATTATAAAATCATCAGAACACCGTGCGCAGTACACGTCAATCTAGTCATTTATCTCTCTCGTTCCAAGAACAATCACGGAAGCTTGCCCTTCGTGCAATGACTGTAGACTTGCCCTTCTCATTTTTTAAGGCCCTTGTCCGTGACATTTGCAAAGTACCTGACATTTTTAGCAACTTGCACATGTCTTGTGTCGTGTTTAAGCTTGTCGCCTTGTGAATGTCAAATTACCTGTGCATGTAGGAATAAAGATAGCTTTATAATGCTAAGTGGCCTGATAAAGTGTAGTACATTACAATACTTCACTATGGTGGTTGATGTGAAAGCCTCACCGGATTCCTCGTGCCTTCTGTGCTCCGTGGAACAACCCGTGCCAGCCGTTGGTGTCCCCGTCATTAATTCCTCTTCCGCTGGTTCTTGTGATCCGTTAAACGCGTGTTTTCATGTCACCAGCCCCCTACACTGACCCCTGTGACCTACTAGACGCCCGTTATAGCTGTGAGCATGTCCTTGTCACCTGTATCCCCTTGACCTCTGTGATCCATGACGTCTGTTTCGGCTGCGGTTGGGTCCTCGTCATCAGTGCCCCCTGACCTCTGTGACCACTGGCGTCTGTCCCACCTGTGGCTGTATCCCCGTCACCAGTGTTGTCTTGACCCCTGTAACCGGTGACGTCTGTTCCAGCTGCGGGTGTGTCCCCGTCACCAGTGCGTGTCGACGGTGGGCGTGCGCAGTGACCTGTTCCCGCGCAACCCGGCCGACGTGCGCGTCACAGAGTTTTTCGGTTCCGTGCGGAACGTGGAGCGCACTGACCACGTGGTGGACCTGGGCGAGTCGGCCGCCGAACCGGCCGCGCCGCCTCGGTGAGTGCTCGCTCGAGCCGGCACCTCACCGTTGCCGCTTCACAGTCGCGTGCTCAGTGGTGGCCACTGCTTGGGGCGCCCAGTCCGCTGGTCATCCTCGGGGCAGCTGGGCTGTCGGTGTGTCGGTCACAGTGCCGGTCTGAAGTCTGTCCAAGCTGCAGTTCGTTGAAGGTTTTGCTGGAGTTTCTATAGAAAGTTCGCTCTTTTTACTAGCGACAATCAAAAGCTGGCCATTAAGAACAAGAAACGCCGATCTGTTGCCATGGCCGGGTATTCAGACAGCTGCGTTCCCCTTCTGATTTGATCCCGTGTTGCAGGCCTGCAGAGGAGACCGAACCCGCCGCCGCCGCCGCCGCCGCCGCCAACACATATAGATACGTGCCTCAGTTTCCCATCATGTCATAGCCCCGAGTGCAGCACTGAAGTCCGATCCAGGACTGCAGTTACTCTCAGTTTTCTTTCTCCGTCGTGTCAGTGCTTGTGACGGAGAAAATATGTGTGATTGCAAAGCTTGCACGAGCGCAACGACGCTCTGCCGCGGGCGAATTGTGATGCTTATTACACATCGCATGAGACAGGTTTCTGCTTGCGCATTATGAACATTCTGCTTCGCCCGGTGAGATTGAGCCGCCGTACCTCGTATTTTATTGGCGTGTGTAATATAATGTGGATGTAGTCTCCCGTCTCCGTGAATTCCGAGCAGTTCCATTGCAAGGCCAATTGCCCACAGCTGTGCTATAAATAGCCTGCCCTCGTTGTGCTGGGCCGAGGCTGGCTGCGGGTGATCGGTCATGAGCTAGCCTGACCTGTACCTTGCGTGGGTGCCATCACCCACCGCGTTTGTCCCCTCCCCCTCCCCCTGCCCCCCCCCCCCCGAGGTCAAATTGGAAGCGGGCCGTCCACGGCTCGCCTCCGCCCCGGTTGGAGCAGTGTGTCATTACTGGCCGGATCGCCCAGAGCTCGTTTGCGTTTTTCTGTGTCGCCGTGCTGCGCGAGTGTCGCGAGCGACCACCTGGCGGCTGTGCATGAAAGCGCCAGACCTGGCGGCATGTCTACAAACGTGCCGTGGCTGGAAAGCTTTCACATTTTTCCCACCTCGCATCCTGGTGGACATGCCACAACGTGTTCTGTGACGGTATAAAGGTGCGATTTAATAGCAAAAACGCAAAGACCTGAGAATCCCTAGATTCAGAGATTTTGTTTCATACGGCTTAACGGTCAGATCTCAGGCATTAAAACTCTTGCGAACGACGGCTCATCAATTGGCTTGCTTACATAGGTTATCCGGGCGATCCCTTGGCTAGGAAAATATGTAAAGAAAGGTTGTTCACGCACTTCAAAATTAGGTTCTGCTCATCCAACAATGTCAGTTTTTATGCGGTAGCTGACTAAAACGATCGACCACGGGGTGTGTGACACCGAAGACGCCTTGTCGACGTGAGCCTTCATAAAGGTGAACCATGGCTGACCAACTTTAATGGTGACGTGGGTTCGTCCAGGCGTACAAACTGCGGACGGAAATAGCACCAGCAGTCGTCTTACACCCTATCCCGGATCACGGTCATCGTTCTTGTGTATGACGCGTGGAGACCGGTTAGTCAGCCTTTTTGTCACTGGATCCGGGTGTGCTCTGACGTACTCCGCTGTCACGTGGTGACCAAGTTGGGGGAGTGGGGTTGACACTACGACTAGAGCACGCAGACTTGTCTGGCAAGGATCAATACCAGAATACCAGATGGGCAGAAGCACGCAGGTGTCATCATCTGAGACGAATCAAAATGAACTTCGGACAGGTCCAACGATGCCCATTCCGGGGTGGTAACCACTGCGGGCATTAATCGACGCATGATCAGTAACTGTGCGCAAACGCACACATCAAACTCGCTGTTCAGTAGGACATGTATTCAGCGGACGCGGCGGACACGACAGTCCAGTCCCCCGCGACGAATCTTCTGGTCAGAGCAGGTACAGGGGTTCCTTATCGACTCGTAAATACCATGCGCTCCACACTCCGCTCGCGACTCTCCACTTACTCTCCCACACAATCTCCCGCATTCACCACCCGCGCAGCAGACCGCACCGGTACGTCGCCGTCGACTCGCCCGTCTCCAGGGTTACACCGCGCGCCGCCCCGGTGGAGTCTACCGCTTCCCGAGCTCTACTTGTTGTAGGGCTCGGGCGCGAAGCCCGGTCCGTAGCTGTACTGCGGCTCCGGCGCGTACTGTTGGGAGGACCGCTTGGCCTCCTCCTCGGGCGTCGGCAGGTAGGGGTTCTTGTACGGATCCAAGTTTACGCTGAAACGACGAGAGCGGGTATAAGGCTTCGAGGGATCGACCGGCCAGCAGGGAGGTACTGTGTCTGGCGGGGACGTCTGCCACGACAGTAATGCTCAAAGCGAGGGCGAGCGTGATGCTCCATGCCGGCTGGTCAAATGAACACGGCAAGACTCCCGTGCATCTGAGAACGTCAGACCATGAAATGCCACTAACGAGCCTGACGAGAGCGTTTGGTTGCGATAGTCTGTCGTAACGTGCCTCAGCATTTGGTAATCGGACATTGGGAGATGCATGCACGTGAGCCGGGCGTGTACCTGGCGCTGACACTGCCGGGGCGTCTCAGACCTCAGGACGCTCGCTTCTCCCGCGTCCCAAGCCGACGCTGAACCCCCGGGCCCGGCTGACTCACTCGTACTGCTTGACGGCGGCGCCGCAGTCCACGTTGTACCACCAGTCGCAGGTCAGCTCGTACTGGTTGAACAGCGTGCCGTTGGTGCAGAGGAACGAGGCGCCGGCGTAACCGTGCCGGTTGTCCTCGCCGCAGATGTGGTACGCCTGGTGGGACACGTCCGAGGGTGGGCAGCGTCACAGGTGTGCGTTGTCAGCAGCGGAGCCGTGTCCGCAAGTTAGACCGACACAGCGTGTGCGCTGGCCGGCTCTCGGGGCTCGAGGAGTCCAGTCCAGTCAGCGTGTGGTTTGCGTCGGCTACAAACGATGGCAGTGACGCAGTAAGTCGGGACCATTCACCGGGTGCGATACGAACGGTAGGTCGGGACCAGTCACCGGATGGGATACGGACAGTAGGTCGGGACCAGTCATCGGATGGGATACGGACAGTAGGTCGGGACCAGTCACCGGATGCGATGCGGACACAAACATCACTTGATTTCTAATTCCCTTTCTTTCTAAATCTTTCATCACCGTCACTCGAATGGTGCGATGGCCGCTTTGTGGTGAAAACATTCGAGGCGTAATTAGGGAGTGGTTCTTCGGCCGAACATCGTAAAAGTGGTTTTCTCTCCCCACTGCGATGTCGTTCTAGGCGATTGGATGGTCAGACAGTAGACAAAAAAGCGTTGCAATTATCGCAGTGTTGTCCCCCTCCTCTGTCTTCATGTCATATTCATGTACGCTGTGTCTTTACAATGCTGATACATGCAAGCTCTCGTCTATGTAAATCTTGGGCCAAAAGTTCACCGTGCAAGGGCATCGCTCACGCTGTGCGAATGGAGCGTAACATATCAGGCCGCTGTAGCTCTTAAAACACTGGCACACACTGATGAACAGTAATGTCGGGCGACGGATCTTTTGGACAATATTGCAACACAACGGACAGATGCTGGGATTGTGGACATTGTTGCGATCACCCGCTGAATGGCCCCTTTCGTGGCACAAATAATGCTTCTAGGAAGCACATCCATAGCGACCCACGGACTCATCTGACCACAGACATTAACGCTGCCCCAGATCAAGACCGAGACGCGTCATGCACTCTGGCAGCCCGACCGGCGGCAGCGGCGCCGACGTACCTGGCAGCCGGTCTCGGCGTCGGCGTAAAGGCCGGGCCGGTACGGCACCTGATCGCACGTGAAGCCCGTCTCCGGCACCTGCGGGCACGGCGGCGGGCGCGTCAGCGCACATCCCGCCCGCGGCTGCACGGCCGAGCCGCGCGCAACACCCGGGCGCTGAGGCCCACTGCCAGTCACGTGGCGAGGAGCGAGTCCAACCCGGAACTGTGTCGTGCTGTTGCAATGGTGCAGTTGTTACGGGCGGAATGCCGGGTCGTTGTTGCGTTCGCGCTAGTGTACATTCCTTGCATGTCTTATACGGCAATTGTGAGGCTTGCTGAGAAGCTTATGTCTCGGCAGCTCTGGCCGAATGAAGGGGATCTGTATGGCTGTGAAAGCTTCTGGTCCGTGAACTTTGAAGTTATCGTGCATGAGGTCATTATTCGATTAACCTGGCGCGCAGTCGCGATCCGACGGGAGCTCAGACTGCGGGGCGGGGCAGATTGGGCGCGTGCCCCGTCTGGTCCGGAATACCGTCCAGAGCGTTGGTAGTTCCCGAGCTCCGTATCGTTCTTCATCGGCTTACCGTGTAGAGCTGTTAGCATTAGCTGGCTTATGGGCTACCCAACATAGGCGTGCCATTTGTAGGGTTCCGTGGTTGTTGGGGCAGTGGTGGTTGATGGAGTAATCTTTATCCTAGGACCGGAGTATGTTCCACGCTTTTTCGCGGTTGGTGTTGACGCATATCCTTGACCATCGATCTACGTCCGGACTCTCCCGGCCCTGTCTTGTGCCATTGTGTCTTAAGATTGGACAATCATGTCGGGATTACCCCCAGGCGTTCGTTCGCACCTTGTCACAGGGCGACTGGTCCTGCCCGACATTACCCCCTCCCCTTATTCGTTTAATGCACATCGGGTGCTTTCGTCCCATATTATCCTACCATCCTTGCTATTCTGCTGGAGCACGTCGGGGGCTTTGTCCGACATCGCACTTTCTTTGCGCCTTCCTTACCGTGTCTTAGCGGTGCCCCTGCCCCAGGTGCCCCGCGTCGTACCGGTGCCCCCCCCCCCCCCCCCTCCTCCTCCCGGATTGGGTGGCCCTGTATCGCGCTGTCCCTCCCCCGGGCGTCCTTACCGCGTCGTAGAGCGGGTAGTCCTGGCCGGGCTGGCCGGGGATCTTGCTCAGATCCTGGACGGGCGCGCCGCCGTAGCGCGCCTCACTGCCGTAGCTGGCCTCGGGGGCCGTGTACAGCACCGGTCCGGCAGGCTGCAGCTTCTTCACCTGCCGCGCACACGGATGACACGTGTGACATACAGCGACACGGTCTCGCATCATAGGAGCCGATCATCCGCTCGGGCTCCTCCACAATCTTATTTCGGTTGCCTCCAACAGCCGTGCCGGTTAATAGCCAACGTTTCACTTCACTCAAAGGGTCACTGAATACAGAGACAGAGAATAGACGTGACAGAGTAAATTGTCGGTGGTTGGACTACGACAGCCCCAAGATCATGACACGCATGAATGTGGCCGTCCTGGCCCATCCACAACCCGTAGCCTTTATATATGCCCACAATTTCGCCGTCCATGCCGTCACCTAACCAACCTCGTCCCCGGCGTACTCTCGTCCCGTTTCTCGTCGGCCTCACCTGCTTGCGTTCGCGGGGCACGAAGGGCTTGGGCACAAACTTGGGCCTGGCGGGCTGGATGGGCTCCAGGATGGGCGCAGCCACGAGCGGTCCGTTGTAGTTGAGGTTCGGGTCGAAGTAGACATCGTAGTCCTCGGGGTTCTCCACCTTGGGCTTGTCTGCCGGCCGGATTCGCCTCGGCACCTCGTCACGGTACAGGGTGTCGCCATTGTTGACGACGGGCGGCAGCACGCCCTGAGGCAGGGGACAATGTGTGACGAGGTCGCTTGGTCATTGGCTTATGCAGCTTGGCGGGGGTGAGACGGCGGGTATGCCGGACTCGAGACGAGCATTACCCAACACCGCGTCGGTGTAGTGGTAAAACGGGGCATACAAACAACACCTGGAAAAGTACCGACCTCACATTGAGCCAGCGCATGTCGATGCCATTGTCAAGTTCTGAGACGAACGCACCCCGGATCTGCCGGGGGGCTTCGACCACAGTTGTCGATGCCATTGTCAAGTTCTGAGACGAACGCACCCCAGATCTGCCGGGGGGCTTCGACCACAGTTGTCGATGCCATTGTCAAGTTCTGAGACGAACGCACCCCGGATCTGCCGGGGGGCTTCGAGCACAGCTGAGGGACACACAGCGGGGTCACGGACCCATACGCAGCGGGGCAGCCTGGGTCGAGGTCAACACGCCATCGCACGCTCGCACACCGCCGAGAGACCGCAGCTGCTAGCAGCCTGTGGTCGCCGCTTGCCGAAACGTCTCGCCGTTGGCGTGTTCCGCCGGCAGTCAAGGGCGCGCGGCCCGTGGTTCCCACCGCCGCGCTTAACGACGCCCGTGCCGGCCGGATCCTGGGACGACCCTTCGCCCTTCTCCCGGCGCCGCCGAGAACGCCCGCTCACTTTTCTCGCCACGTCCGAGCCCGTCAGCCGCAGAAGTCTCCCATGTTTACGGCTATGGTATGGCGCTGACGTGATGGGTTTAGTTTCTGTAAGCCACTTCACCGTGGGAGTGGAGGCGACAGGTGTCGGGAGAGAGGGTGCAAACATGCGTCATCTGATGAGCTTCGAAGAAGACAGCGATGCAGTTGTCGTCCTTCGCACGCCTTGATGAATGTTACCTTGCTGGAAGGCTCCAATGCAAGGTGTTGGATTGGGGTCGTATCGGATGAAAGGTGTTGGATCGACGTCATATCGAATACAAGGTGTTGGATCGGCGAAGTGTCGGATGGATGACAGGTGAGGGGTGCATCTGAAGAGTGCAGTAGGAACAGTAAGGGGAGATGAACCAAAATGGTTATCTGAAACTACTGCATAACTCTCCCTCGCGCACTTTTCCCTGGATAAATACAGACTGGTCGTGTGTGATGATGCAGAAATTATCATCTCTGTAGATGCTTGGAGCAAGGCACAGTGGTTCCTTTCCACCCCCCAAAACACCACTCGATGGCAAATATACTGCTTACGACATGAACGTCGTGCAGCACCCACGCGCAGCGGCTGAGAACGGTTGCAGAGAAGCATGCAATGTTCCGCCGACGCGAGCGGCGGAACCCTTTCGCTTTCGTCGGAGCGGCAGCTGCCTGCCGCGTCGCCACCGTCTCGCCACGGTTCATCGGCCGTCGGCGGCGCCCGGCCGCAGCCGCCGCAGCTCCGGCCGGCCGACGACACCGGGTGCCGTGCGGAGAAAGGCTGCCGCAGCGACACATGTCGCCGGGCGCGGCTGCCGGCCGGCACGTGGCGTCACGTCGGGCCGCGCCGGCCGACCGGGTGCGGCGCGCGCCCGGCTGTATCCGCGACGCGGCCCGGGTGGAGGGCGCTCGGGCGTGACCGGCGGGGCGCCGGGCCGAGGACAGGGCGGTCCTGTCTCGGGCTGCGGTGCGGCCCCGGGCTGTTCTCTACTGGTCCTATCAGCCACCGACGATGCGTCACCGACTGCCGTCAGAAATGGGTCGATCAGGTCGCCGGATTGCTGACGGCGGTTGGCGACTGCCCATGCATTCGTCCGTCACGCGATTGGCGGGCTCACGAGACCGGTAGATGCCATTGTATGCGAGAGTCGGGCGCACAGCCTTCTGCCACGCCCGTCTAAGTTTCCTTGCGTCACATTTCTCAGCGCAGTTTTACGCAAACGCGTTTCTTAGCCGCGTGCCCTCCGCTGGCGTGGCCCCCTTCTCTGACGGCACCGTCCGGACCGGACCTCGCGTCCCAAGTGCGCCAGATACGGATCTGGCCTTGACCGACACCGAGCTATGGCCGGTGCTCGAGCGCTCTTGTCCTGGCGCCTGGGACCCGCCCAACAACGGCACGGGGGGAGGGGCGGCGGGTGCGCGCGTGCTGTGTCACCACCTGCTGCGGAGCAAGGCCGGTATCCCCGGCGCGTGCGAGGTCAGGTTGGGGAGGAAAACAGGTGCCGCGCTGAGTCAGCGTCTGCCGCCGACGCGGTTGATAGATGCTATATTCCGTTCGGCGCTGCGTGGGCGCTGGTTGCGCGTGTACTCCCGGGTTCAGAGCGATGTGTTTGCTACAGTTGTCATTGCTGTGATCAAAGGGTCGCTTCTAAGGCATGACGTCGTGAGATTTCGTATTTCGGAAACGATGACCTGCAACTTTTGTGCGACGTGTTTGAAATAAATAGTTATGATTTCGGCCGCCTGCAAGTCAAATATTGCAGCATGCATATCAGATGTGAGAAAACGCGCCGTAACTAAGCCGGTTAACTGGTACTCACTGAAGTGTATCACTACACAACACAAATCACAAGTAGTTTGAGGGTGATTTCGTTTTCCCAAGTTCGCTCTTTAATTTCAGGTGCCACTGATCACGGGATTATATGCGGTGAACCGATAAAGTGACATCAAGGTGACAATATGGTGACATATATCCACCAGAGCAAGCTTGCGAGCAAGACTTATTGGCTGTAATGCGTGCCCCGATCGTTTTGCACTCAGTCGTGAAGAAAGGTTCAACGTTTAATCAATGCACAGTTTTAGCAAATGTCATGGCTGATCGTCGTGCAATCTCTGTCTAGCTAACCACACTAACCACACTAATGACACTAACCACAATCAAATGACGAACATGGTTTCTTGGAACGAGGATCCAATTTGGTGTAGGATGAGTGCAGCGCCTTACATACAAATGCATAAGGCGGGCAATGAAAGTCCTTTATAGATGTCTGGAGCGAGCCAGCCATCGGGCGCCGCGTTGAACAAGTGGCAGAGTGGACAAGAAAAAATACGGAGTTGGACAGAAAACTGCAAAATTAAATCCACGAATGATGCAATGATCTGGAGATGTTGCTGGTTTCGTGCCTTTCACAAGATTCCGAACTATTGTTTCTGTCAACGGCATCCATAACGGGGTAGTCACAGTACAGCCTGACTGCAGTCCGAAACGTGAGCACGTCTTTGAGCAAATATCACGTTCTGACGACATAGCTCTCTACACGTGCTGACCGAAAAGATGGCTGCCTAAAATGACACGTCCTGGGATATAGCCCAATCAACCGCAAAGGCTGGTGATCAATTTGACACACTAACCCCAACTTACTGAACTTAATCAAACGCAGCTGACTAAATACAATTGAACACAGCCTACCTAATTCAAACCAACCCAACTCCACCAGAAATGCTTCCTTAACCTCCCAAACTTATATTTCGCTCTACAAGTACGTAACATTTTACTGTATGGAATGCAAGGTGGACCCGACTCAACAAAGTTGAAGGTAACCTGACTTATCCAAACCAACCGAAACCCCAACGGAAAGAAACGTCTACAGCTATATTTTGCTTTAGTACCATGTAACATTTTGTTTTACCTAATGGCATGTGGGGAACGTTGGATACACTTGCTGAGCGCAAAATGACCATTGCAGTCGACGCGCCCGAAAACACCAATAAACAACAACAACGGTGGGTGCATTTTCAATATATCTATTGGCCCAACATGAATTGCAACTAAAGTGACCTAATCCTGACTGATACACGAGTTGTGACAGAGTTGGCTGTTTCGCAGAACATAATATTGAGTGAGGGCTGGGTTCCAGACTGAGCCTCATGGATGTAGAATGCATCAACAAAGGCCTGCTACAGTTCAAGAATAAGTATGCGATTTGGATGTCCGTTACAAAGAACACCCGCATCCGACGGACCCAGCCTGCTACATCGTCTGAAAACGTCAGACCACGTCCGGCACAAGCCTTCACTTCGTCTTAAGTCAAAGTTCATTGTTAACGAATCAGTGAGCCTGAGTGCGACCACCCTGTGCAACAAGTCAGTTAACTTGAGTTGATTTGATTAAGGTCGAGTTTGAAGTCGATTTGACCGGATTCAAGATATCTTTTTGGACGTTATCGCGTTACACTGTACCTGAATATAACTGATAAAAAGTCTACTAGGTATTTGCATTTGAATTATTTGAATTTTCGGTCATACGTCCATTTCGTGCTCTCACCACTGGAAAAACTTCGGAGAAGCCACATGACGGGAAGTAATTTAACTCGAGCAAAAACACGACACTGCCAGTTGTCCATTGCTCAATCGCCACACTCCGACTCCGTTTTGAAGTAATAATGAAGCTAACTTTGATCAATGGGAAGGTAGCCAGCGTTTCCCCAAGCGAACAAAAAGAGGTGATTTCCTGGACTGTGATAATCAATTAAGCGTCTGACACGGAGAGATCTTGACGCTGAACAAGACCCTCGACGCGATGGTATCGACTTGTAACACTTGTAATTACTTATTCCTTGTTGTATCAGACAGTAACTAGGACAGACTAGGTAGCACAGAAGTTCTGGAGCCGTTGGTTGACTCGTGAGCAAGGGAATTGAGGTTTTACCGCTTTTGCCCAAGATACGTGCGACACTTGAAACGTTTGGAAGGTTTGCCGAGGTGCGGGAAATGCTCAGAAATTGGTGCAAGGATAGTACGCCGCTTGAGAATGGTTTCAATAAGCAAATGCAATATAAATTGCGTTTGATCATCGAACCAGACTGCTTCCATTCGATCTCTCGAATTTCCGACACGAAGACACGCTCCGAGAAGCAGAGCAGCCTCCTCTCAAAAGTCTTGGGCTACGCCTACATTGCATTTTTTGACGTGTGCCATGGCTGAGCTTAGATACGCGATTGAAGTGTCTGTTACAAAGGACACCCGTGACCAACGAACCCAGCTTGGTCGTCTGAACGCGGGAGACGTCACGGAAACGCGACCGACCTCGGTCTCAGCCTCGCTGCGGGTCTTACCTGGGCGGCGACGGCCGCGACGAGCGTCGATATCACCAAACAGCACTTCATAGTGGACCTGGAACCAGACGGAGCGGCCGGTTAGCCCGCGCTTCTGGACTTGCGTGCTCACGGGCGAGGCGAGCGGGCGACTGCAACCGCTCACAGGCAGCTACCGGGGCGGACTGAGGCGACACGACGGCCGACTCGACTACGACAGCACTAGCACCAATCGCCGCTCGGGGAGGTCCGTCTGACCTGGGCAAGACGGCGATGTGTGAGCGTGCTGCGACGACGCGCCGGTATATGATCTACTTTCACTTTCGGCGGCGCGCGGCGGCGGTGGCGGACGCGGGCGGCCCTGCCCGGCGCCCGCCGGCGGACCGACCGCGCCTCGCCCGCACCCCCTGACCCATTTGGCCACGTGCTGACCTCTGGATGCGGCCGCGGCCGCAGGGCGACGGCGGGGGGGGGGGGCGGTCACGCCGTGAGACATGGGTTTCCGAGTCACCGTCAAGTTCTGGCTGTCGGTCGGGGTCCAGGCGTGTCGAGAGGTGAGAGCCTGCCTCACACTTTCCGGTAAGTATGCCGATTTGTGGAGACCTTCAAGGCTGGCGATAGCCCTCCAAGGAGAGCCGGCTTTTCTGTGGGAATGGCCTCTATTCGTGCACATGCCCACCATAATGGGTGGTGTCATTGTCATGTAGCACCGCGGATGTTCTATCACACGGTTCGATCTCACGCACCGATGGCTGACCACTCTTGTCGATTAAACGCGTCAGTTAGTAACAGTAAAAAGTGCAGGCCTTCATACAACTAGCCACTGCTGGCATTGTGCTCCTGGTGATGACCCATGATGACTAATGCCACGTAATGGATCTCTGCGTACTTTGACTCCTTGGACTTTTACGGCAATATTCCGGCATAAAATCAGGCTAACACCGTGTCGAAAGGGGCATACCCTTTGATTCTGCGAAACTGGCCAGGAACTTCGAATTGGTGGCATAATGACTGCTGTTTTACGGCTGCCTGCAACATACTGGGAGCGACAAAAAGCAAATTGAGTATTGTCTTACGGATGGGAAGCTGTGCTGTCGCTGACATTGCCTTGATATCATGACCCGCCTTAACACGCGCTCGGGTGGGGGTCAATTTGGCCCCCTAAAGGTTGTTTCCAAATGATTCCCGAATGTCGCAGCGCAGTAACGCCGAGCTATACATAGCTGAAGCCAATTCAAAAGCAAATACTTTGGTCCTAAGAAATCAAATACAAGTTGCAAAATCACTGACCTTGCAGGTCAAAGTTAGGCCATGGCTGCTAGCGAAGGAATTCCTAGGGAACCGCTCAATCTGACGCGACAACAGTGTTAGACGAATCGGTATGCTCTGAGATGGTTCTTTTGACATCACCTTTTCTTTAAAAAATAGAAGTCAGGATTACAATTAGTTTCATTGATCTTCGATTAGGCAAAATGGTGAGGCCGCCGCCATTTTTTACTGGATGTCTTGCTTTTGTGGAATAGTTTTTTACGCTCATTTTGAATCACTTGGTTACAGGGAGGTAACAAATGTAAATTGAATTCTTCAAGGTTCATGATAGGGCTCTGCCTTGACTTTGTTTTGTCTTATTTGAACAAAGGATCGTGATCTAGGGAACTATGCAAGTTTAAAAAAGTGAGTTCACACACATATATTTATTCTATGAATTTGGTGTGGCTGCTTTTTTAGTTCTTTTTTTTAGATTTCATGAGGTCAAACTGACGCCCAACTTACCGGCGTGGTATTCAACCATCTACCCGGTCGCCTGATAGAAAATATTGCTATGCAACCAAGCGAACCTAGAAATAGGAAGAAGCGGATGGGGATAGCTGTTGGACAACCGCTTCTTGTCAGAATGGCCAACCCCCTTGGTGGGTGTAAGTTTGCTGACAACAACAGCCCGAGGTGTTGGCTCCAAATATGCAAGTAGCTTCATGAGAAAGGCTTCCTGGATTACCAGGCATATGATGTGGAGACTGAGCAGCGCTGATTGTCCGAATCTTCCACGCCAGTGGGGTAGGTTTGGGCAGGGCGTAGGGTAAGTTCGGACAGTGTTTATTGGATTCAATCGAGACTGAAACATAGTGTGCTGAAACAAATGCATTGCAACAACGAAAAACAGCTCCACCTAGCGTTCATAACTCTCTAACGACCCGGTACTTGCACTATCGCATATTGATGAAGGTGACGAGGCTAACCAGCAATGACCTTGTGTTACCTCTCGAGAACAAATGGTCACAGGCTATGACCTAAAACAGCATCGGCAAACACATGTGAACACTGTCGCTTTCCTTAGGCCGAATGCGTGCTGGGACCTACAGAAAGCTTTGCTGAGTGATCATTATGGGAAATATGTTGACAGTAAAGCTATGGAAGACGACTACACTGAGTTTGACGGTCAGCAGGGGTCGAAGCAGCTCTCCTCTCATATGTCCTCTCATCGCCGTCGAAGATCGATCACGATGGTATTCGAAGTACATACTCGCCCGTATAAGGTGGGAAAGACCTTCCTGATCAGAAAGTCTTTCAAGTTTGCTTCACGGCTTGAAACATTTATCGGACGTACAACGCGCCAGTTGGTATAACGCCCTTCTGGCTGTAATAAACATCTATATTTTTAACGTGTAACGTTGTTAAAAAATCGCAATAGAAATTTCATGAGCGTGTCACCTGAAGACCACTTGCTGCTGTTAGGAAGTCAGCTCATTATCACTTTTTTGACTGGGCTGCGCTGTCGCGGCAAATAATACGCGTCATTTATAGAGTGAAAGCTAGTTTTACGTAGAAAGTGGACCACGTGTTCACACAACATAAGACGAAAGTCGTACCTGCAAGCAAGACGTCTCGAGCTGCATCAATAGTTTGTCTTAGTGGGTTCCTAATCGCGAACTAAGCAGCTTGCTCGAAAACCTCATCGCTCTCGGCTAATGGATACGTTATGCATTTGGCGTTTTGGCGTTTTGGGTCTTTGGCGTTTGATGACGCTTATGTCGGTGTATGTCGGTGTCGGGGCCGTATCCTACTAGGAGGGCCCGTGTGAAAACAGACGAGCTGCGGCCTGGGCGGATGGAACCGGATAATGCAAGAAAAGACCAGATGGGACGGGACCAGACAGAACCAGGCGGTACCAGACGGGACCATGCATGACCGGACGCGATGAGACAGCATCGGACGTCACCGAACGGGTTCGAAGGGAACCGGCCGGCCAGAGCGGGACCGGACGAAACCGCATGGAACCGGGCGAAACAGGACGAGATCATTCGGGACTGGGCAAGGCATGACGCTACCGGACGGGACAGAACGGAGTGGGACCAAATCAGGTGAAACTGAACGCAGCCAGACGAATCCAAACGAAACTGGACGGAACAAGACAGAACCGGACGAAGCCTAACGGGACCTCCTCACTTTTCTCCTCCGCACTCACTCACTATGAGCTTATGCTAGATCATTCCAAGGTCTGTGTTGTGTCCACTTTACCATAAAAGCACTGTGTCCTCTGTGGCATGGTACATTTAACTATTTCGCATTTTCAAGCGTTAGGGCTAAGACGAACGAAAAAAACACTACGTCACATGAGAGACCATGACTAAAATTATCGATTTTCTGCGTCAATAGTTTGCCGTTTGCTTATAGTTTATAGCTCCAGCTCTAGTTCAACTGAGCTAGAAATGGAGGGTGAGCTGTAGCGCCCCCCCCCCCTCCGGCATCTCCTAACTGAATAACAAACTTCTCCCCTGTGTTTCGCGACACAAGTTCAGAGTGTTCATGCTGAGTTATGGACATTCAATTTAAGAGGAGGTATGGTTAAACGACGCTGCTGACTGTATAGTCAGTACTTTTTCAGTATTTCAAGCAACGTGCTATGATCACGAGTGTGACATCATCAGCATTCACTCATGTCTCGAGGACTTCCCGTCGGCTTCTGTCCCTCTTTTTGACGTTTAATTTCACCTAACTTGTTTTTCTCGACTTTCATTTTTGTTTAGTTTTATTTCTGCCCATGTTTGATCTTAGAACTTCTTTCAGTTTGACCTTTTGTATGTAAACTTTTATCCCCGCCGACTTACCTTTTGTCTTCCAACTTTTTTATTCGAATTTGCTCCCAGTCGACTTTTATCCCTTTCGACTTTTTGTCCTTTGACTTTTTCCGTTTTGCTTTTCATCTCTGTTGACTTTTATCTTGTTTGATGCTTTGCCACTGGGCCTTTTCTGAATTTCTTTAAACTTAGACATCTTGTATTCCAGTGGGCAGTAAAATTTCATCGTCATCAACTTTTTACTTTTCGACTGTTTTTGTTCGACTTTTTCATTTGACTTTTCCATTCGACTTTTTGTTCGGGCACCCAAACATTACGTTGAAACCAACAGCACTTAAACCTTACTTGGAAACAATATCTTCAGAAGACTAAGGCGGCTTAGCAATATTTTGTTTTAGGCCACTCGGTAAGGCATACACGTGAATAAGTAACATCGATGGGTAAAGATGAGGCATGCGTATTCTATTGATAGAAGCCTTTTTGCCGTTACGTGCTTCAATCTAAGTTATTGATTTTCCAATAACTCTTTGGAATGATGTGGTTGACGCTTATGAACTAGCAAACTATGAAATGCCCTATGTAATTTAAAGCAAAATTCTTACAAATGCAAAATTTCACAGATGACTTTCACATGACTTGACTGTGTTGTATTCACCTGGTTAAACTAGCAACTACTCACTGCTCAGGGATTCCGATATACGGTGCAGTTTGTATGATGCTTTCAAATATTTGGCTATGTAATGTAAATTGAGATCTCTACATATGCACGTTTAAGACAATGTCACAATAATTTCCGAAAATGTTTAAGTTTTACTTATGCACAGGACCTCTCTATGTACGTGGTTCATCGCATTTCCCCTGTTTTGCTGATATTGGCTCTATTTTTGCACGTTACATTTTATCAGAAAAATGTGCTTGAGCAATTTGCCCTCCACCGCCTTCGGATCTCAGAGTGTACTGTGCCTTTTCTGCCGTGTAAGGGCTCGAACTAACATCTGAAACGCAAATTGTCTTCTAACATACAAAATTTTCAAAACTTATATCGGGACCCATCCCAGGAGCGAAAGGTGAGGTAAAGCAGACCGTAGCGTTTACGTTTAGTGAATCTTAGCGACACGTTGCATGCAGTCATGGATTTCATCATGTCCGTAATCGCCCCTGGGTTTTGTATGGTCAGAATCCTAGCAACTCTTAAGCCACCGAGGTGCAAAATTCAATGATTTT